TACATTGACCTGTATATATAGAGGTCAATGATAAGGTAAAGCGGGGACGATAATTTCTAAGGAAAATGTAAACTTTAATGTTTCTTTCCTAAACTTTCTTTCAAAAAAGTAAAATATTCTATAACTACACCAATATGTGTATTTTTTTTATTTATTTCATTAAAACTTAGGCTTCACTTGTTTAAAAGTAAGGATCGCAACAATTATTTGTTATAAAATCTAATATTTGTGGTTGAAAATTATCATATGTAGATATTAAATAAATCATCTGCCATTAAATCTTTTGAAGTGTTATTTTTATTAAACAGTACAAAATTATATTTTTATCTCGTATAATGTAAATACATATACTGCCGACAACAAATATCCAGGCTACAAGAAAGGCGACTATACAGCCCGACAATAACGTTTGATACATACTTTATACATATTTTATATTCTAAGTCTATGTTTGTTATACCTAGGAAACTAATCTCTGTCAATGCCTTTTTTTCTGGCTAACTTTTCAATGTGTAGCTTGTCATTGCTCAGGGTTGCCAGAATGTCACTAACAACGCTCTCATTTAGTCTATAAAATTTTTACAATAACATAACTATTATTATAACCAATACTTTAAAAAAAAGTTCCCGCTGGGTTTTTTGCTGGTTCTTCCGAGGTTCTTCCAAACCAGTGGTAATTAAACAAAAGAGTGACTTTCGATAAATATTATTTATAATTTATACTGAATAAAAGTTTCTGTTTCTATTGTTAAGTGAAATCAATAATTAAAACTTTATTTTGTTAATATAACAAAACAACTGTAAATATATCTAACAATTAAGTTTTGTATTTAAATTGTGTAATTGGTTTGTCGATAACTGTTCTAATGATTTTTATAAAGTTTTGTTTTGAGATAATATTTTTGCTAAATTGTTTCTATAGTTGCAAATAAATTAATTCTATTATATTATATTTACTTTCCAAATTTATTTAGATTAGACTTAAACTCTGAGATATTTTTATCATCTGAACATAATTCTATTGCGTACAGTTGGAGCATTGCTGTCGCAAAGGAATAATTTTGTTGTAAGAATTATATTGTTCAATTAGGACTGATAATACATTTATTGAAATTGGATGATATATATATCTCTCAAATAAATTAATACAAATTAAGAAACGCGCGTCATCTAGTGTAAGTTAATTGTACTATGCCTAAAACTTCGCGCAAGTGCTAGCAATAAGTTAGCAAAGCTTTACCACAATCTGTTGCACGGTATGGCAGCGTATAAAATACAAACAAACAAAGATTAATATTTGTTTATTAGATTACTATCGTAAATGATGAATCACTCACTCGTTGTTAGCAACTAGCATCCTATATAATACAAGTACTTTCAATATTAAATATAATCGAATACGTTACCAGTGACACGGGAACATTAAGATTGTTCTAATTTAAAGCCCACCCACTTAAACCTGGCGGCTATCTGCCCTCTAAAGAATTGAATATTACTGTGCAAATGTAGGTTATCCAGAGCATCGTAAACTATCACACTTCGCTGAAGCACGTTTCTTGCATTGAGCGGCCATATCTGACCTTCATCAATTGCAATAACACTAAGCATCATGTAAAGGTAAATGGCATCTTGTCACTACAAAATATCTTGTCTATTCAACAGTATGTATATAAGTGTATATATATATATATATATATATATATATATATATATATATATATGTATATATATACTTATATATATATATATATATATATATATATATATATATATATATATATATATATATGTATATGTATATGTACGGGTGAACGGTTAGAAGCCTATGGCACTGATATTTTACATTTTTGTTTTTATTTTATATTAATATATTATGAAATTGATCTACTAATTTGAAATAAACTTTTGGTACTAAAAAAATAACAACAAAATTTTTGAACTAAATAAATAAATCAATTAAAAACTATCAAAATTAAAATAATACGTACCCAATTAGTAGTGTTTATTCATAGATCAATTTCATAATATGTTAATGTAAAATAAAAAATAAAATTAAAGTATCACTGCCGTAGGCATTTTGGTACAGATGAAGCTCTAATTCTACTTATAAATAATAAATCTCAGAGTGCGGTGTAAGAGAATCCACTACCCCATATCATCCCTTACCGTTACCGTTACCGTTGCAGCCTACTAAAGTCCCCTGATGAAAATAGGCCTCCACCATCGATTATCTCATAGAGGAAGTGTTTGCCATAGTTACCACGCTTGGAAAGCGGGTTTTTTTTTCAGCCGTTATCCTTCGGTAGCCTTCCTAAGAAGACGCTGCTGCCTACCACCTGATTTGTTTCCCTCCGTCGCCTGTTACAACACCCACGGGATGACATAGGGCAGTGGATATTCTTACACCACTACTACACGGAAAATCATCCCTTAGATGATGTTAAGAGCGATACCCCACCCGCCAAGCGTGGTAACTATGGCAAATATCTTCCCTTATGAGGTTATATATGTGAGAGAACTATGTTCAAGGGACTTTGATAGACTATTACGAATAAGAAGAGCAATGAGGTAATATATAGTAGGTATTACATAATAGCTCAATGTAATCAAGAGGTAATTGAAGCGTCATTGCGCGTATAATTAATTACTTTGTTTAAATAAATTTCATTATTTAACATTTTTCCGAATAAATATTCCAAAATGTTGTGAGTCCCACCATCTCTAAAAGTACAGCTAACAAAAACCTTAAAAAACAATAAAGAATATAAGCTCTAAGGCAGACTGGAAAAGAATGATTTAGGCATTAAGTCCGCCTATATACCACGTGTGTATATGAAATTTTAAGTAAATAAAGAAATATAGGAATATTTTCACAATGGCAAAACAAATTTGCTTCGTTTTTTTTTGCTATACAATAGTTCAAACACATATTTCGATATTTTTTAGGATTTAAATTTTCCACGTTTTATGTGTACCCTTATTTATGTAAAATTCATTTGATTTTGTGGATTTTGTGTAAACGGCGAGCAAGTTGTTTTATTTAAAACTGAAATCACATGCTTTGAAATTGAATTCTCCTTTGATATTTAGTAATAAATTTAATATAATTAATAGAATCAGGCGTAACTTTGCGAAAATCCATTATAATAAAGTTATTAATAATTACTTTGCAACCATCCGTTCAATAATGTCTAAATAAATAAGATGATGTGTCTCACCTAGTTTGAAGTTCTCTTCAAACTAGGTAAGACACATCACCTAGTAGTTTTGTTATAAATTTCGAATTCAATACTATGATATTTATACCTACGTTATAACTCGATATTTTAATACAGAAATCAGAAAGTATAGTAATTCGTAAGCGATTTAAGTCATATTAGTGAGTTGCGCAACGCCGTATATTTCCATATGGCATTCAAGACTAAACTCTAGTTACTAGGCCAAGGCCGAAGAAAAGATTAAAGTTACGTATTTTTCATCGCAGCTGAGAAAATAATGTAGGTTTCTATTTCAAACCTCATTTAGTTCTTACAAAACATGGAAATGTAAAAATGTTATTGAAAAGCGCCTAACACCCAGACGGGTAGGCATAGCCAAGGACTTTCAATTGGCATGATCCTGATACACCTCCCTCACCTCCTTCACATCCATACATGTACATGCTCGACGGTTAAGGGTACTCTTAAATTGGCCGATTTTTAACCAACTTCAAAAAAAGAAGATACTCAATTCGACTGTCTGTTTGTGTGGTTACCTCAGAACATTTTTTAGTGAATCGATTTTGTTAATTCCTTTTTTATTTGAAAGTCGGAGCTTCTTGTGTTGCCCCATATAAGTTTGATCAAAATCTGGCCAGTAGTTTTTGAGTTACCCTTAATCCGTATTAATTGACTTCGAATATATTGATGATGTTCTCATTTTATTTGTATTGTAGGCGGTTTTTACAAAATTTAAAATTTTACCACTTGTCAATATATCGCCACGCCACGATTTAATTGGCAGGCGGAATGGCAATAAGGTATAATAATGTTCCGACCAACAGATCTCACTTATTCGGACTGGGCTAAAGTTATTTGTTACAAAATATTATTAATATTGAAAAATTGCGTTTTAAACTAAAATCTATCGGTTTCTAAAGTATATAAATACACAAATTAATGCCTCAGTGGTCTGCTCTTTAATTTCTTTGCACATTTTAACTCTCTTTTCATTTTCCATTTTTAGGAATATATACCATTTGGTTTATCCATTCCCTATCTAATAAATATGAAATATAACTAAAAAAATAATATTTAGTTATATTACACAGAAAGAAAATTACCTCCTCCGTCATGAACACTTGTATTGTGTTTCACTAATAAGTTGTGCCAACCTAGTGGCGGAAAAAGTCGTGAATAATCATAAAAGGCCTCGCACTTTTAACTCTATACGTCACCACTTTTGGGCATTTTTCATCAAGTATACTCTACAATGCGAGATGGTACAAGCATACCTTTATTCACCAATTTATCTAAAAGCTGAACCGATTGAAAAGATTCTTCTTTAATTAAATATGCTATATCTAACGCCTAAAAATAAAGTGTTTATTGTAAGACTCGCTCAAAGAGTAAAAAATTAAACTTCCAATAAAAAATAAAAACTGGTTACGAAAATTAAAAAGAATAAGTAAAATAATTTCTTTGCTAATACATGGTGTATCTAAGAAATAGTCTCGAATTTAGAAGTTTTATGGAAAATCTGTAATTTATTATTTTAATCTTTTAAGTCCTATACTCAAAGTTTAAGTCTCTATATCTGTAATAAATTACAGATAAATTTAATTAAACTTTAAATCTTTTTAGTTTTCGGTGCTAGTTTTTACTTTGTATTAAAAGTTTAATTTACAAAAATTTTCCAAAGAAATGAATAATAAAGAAATCTATTTACGTTATTGGAACTTTAGCCATGATTTCAGACAGCTGCTGCTAATTAATAGCTTTGATCTCGAAACTAAATCTTACCTTTCAGAATCCATGACGATAATCATAGAGTGAATCCAGTTTCGTCTCGATATTTGGCAATCTGAAACAAGGAAAGGAGACATAATTACATCTTTAGAATCATCTTTCAATACATTTTATTTCTTACACAAATATAATACAATTCAATACATTGATTAAAACTACTTTTACGGATTCTATCGCATTTTATTTATTTTTAATACCCGACGTTTCGGGTGCTTTCCAGCACCCAAGGTCACGGGGGACTGAGGTGACTGACGTCCCGATGTCAAAGTTAACCCGGAGTACCTTCAGCTTTTTAATTATTGTCTTTGATCCGATCTACGCAGAATGAACTAACTGTGTTTTGAAGTCTTGCAGTGGTATGCTTGGGTTTAGTTTTAATTTTTTTTAATTATAGGATCCCAAGCAGGTGGTAGTACCCAGCCTCCTTCTCTATTGAAATTAGGATGTTTTTTAATTTCAATAGCCTCACGTCACGATTTGTGGTCTATCAAATCTGATGTAATGGTTGGGGCCATCTAGGATATGATCGCAAACTGCAGACTTCCCGGAACGTTGATGCTTCACGTCGGCTATTAAAAATAAATAAAATGCGATAAAATCCGTAAAAGTAGTTTTAATCAATGTATAGTGTTCGCGTCAATATAAGAAATCATTACAATTCAATACATTTTATTTCTTATACGAATATAATATGTATAAAACAAGTCTTTAAAAAATTGAAAATTTATTTAAAAGACTATACAATTTTGTTAAAAAAAAATTACTTTCGATTTACCGAACTAACTTGAAATCGTTTACAACTTCTGAGCGATTTGGACTAAGACATTTCCGAATAAGGTTTGTGATTCGATCAGTAATATTTACAAACAGAGAGACTACAAACCAATATTTTATTACTGAAGCAATAACTATATTTTACACAAATGCTAAACGAGAAGGCAAAAGCAGTTTATACTCAATTTAGACTTAATACAATTTAACCGTGTGTGTCGTTTGGTGACATCGTATCATAATTCAACATCTTATTTCATCAGAGACGCCGTAAAAGTTAGGTGCGTCGTAATAGGCCAAAAAATGTTGCGGTATTTTGCATAATATGGCAGTAGAGCTTAAATTGATGGCAAGTGGTCACTATGCCACTACTAGCCCAGGTGAGCTGCAAGCACCTTAAAACAAGGTTGCAGGTGCGTTGTTACCCCAAGGTCTAATATGGCCCGCCTCTCCATAATTAATTATACTGGCTATGTTCTACAAATCCGCACACAAATGTGGGGCAAAGGTAGTAAACAGTAAAAGGTATTAAGAGCAACCAAGAGTATATGATTTAAAAAATCGTGAAATAGAAATATCCAGAACCTATATAAATCCTCTAAAGGTACTATAGATACGAGTATTAGTGATATGTCGGTCGCCAAATAAATACTTAAATAATCTTAAAATTAACCAGAATTAACACTCAAAAGTTAAATACGTAGGCATATTTCAATACGTATGTATTTATTCTGAATCATTAAACCTTCATTGTGCACGAATGGAGTAACCAGTTGGCACAGCTGAAGAGCAATTTTATAAACTGCTACAATTCTGCACAAAATGACTCGCTTCCGACGTGAAAAGCGAATATGGGGACCGAGGTCACGATTGTCAGGTCACGGGAGTACGATGCGAAACGGTTGCAAGATCATAATATGTAAAAATTTCAATTCGGATTTTAGTTATTGCTTTTTTTTCGTTATACCTGCTGTAATATCCAAAGATTAATTTTTATTTTATTTTCTATAATGGACATTAATATTAATATTTATAGCAGACGTTGCCGTGATCGTGGTTTAGTGTCCTAACCGCTGCGTGACGCCGCGCCGTCTCAAATACTAACCATAAATATTTTTGGGGCATGTGATCTTTTACACTAAATATAAGAATATATTTAACATTTTATTTATAAAAAAAAAGTGACTCGTTGTAAGTGGCGACAGCAGTCCACGAACACCTGCAAATAACTTCAAACGAAGAGGGCTTAACATGCGTTGTTACATCTAAGGTCTAAGTACATCTTACTTTCAACTGTAATGACCTCAGATACAACTATAATATAAAAGCTACAAGTGTGCAGTAAATAATATATTCTAAAGAGCACATACATGTTTTCAGATATTGTTGCTCGAGAAATGAGAACACCATTCAGGAGAGCATTATTAATTAATTAATTATGGCATTAGTAATACAAACTTATTAGATTTAAAAAAAGAATACTTTCGGACACCATTGCTTCATCGAAAAAAAAAAGGTGGATAATGAAGAAGAAACAGTACTATGATCTCCAAACTGAATTTCTGTCACGGCGGCCAATCTTGGCGGACTAGCCATCAGCGTAGGACAAGGTTTTATAGTGCCCAAGTGTATGCACAAGTACAGGTGTCAAGGGACGGTGATTATACACAGCCGGTGAGAGATCAGGCTTCGGAATTTCTGAAACAGTAGAGTGAAACACTCCGGGTCCTTACTGAGAATTTCTTGACAGAAAACCCAATAACTGAATTCGGCCCGAATCTGATCGAACCCAGGACGATTTAGATTGATTAGAGAGATTAGCGATTTCGTTTATCACCACTAGACCAACAAGGCAGTCTACGAGGTAGATTACTATGATAAGGTACCACCCTCATACATATTTCCGCACTCATTCTATCTTGGTCCTCAGTGTTGACAACCCATCTGTGGTCTTCTTTGCTTGAAGTTGGTTGCAGGTTTATGGGCAACAAATGTTCTAATATGATTTTTTAAATGGTTGACCCTGCATGCCATCCCTGGAACTTCTCGCTAATTTCAAATGCAAAGCGCTCCAAATTTCACCAAATTGTGTTGCGAAATCTCGAAGTTATGTCAAAAAAAGTTTTTTTAAATTATTTTTCCATCGATGGAAAAGTGGAAGCTCTGCTTCCGCGTTTCGTCTGGTGAGTGCAGGTGGCCGGAGGCCCAAATCCCCCCCCCCCCATCAACATGGTAGCGGAATTCAATGATAGACTACCCCAGGAGGGTACCAGCACCCCTGGAGAATCCCTCGCTGAGCATCCACGACCATGTTTTTCCACTTCTGAGCGTGGGTGCTCAGGCTGCCCCGCGTATTCTGGGGGGGGGCAAAATTCCGCTCAAGACTAAAACTGCTCGGGGCAAACGGAGCAACAAGACCAAGGCGACCCCTGCCACGCTGTACGTGAATTTCTGCAATATCAGGGGACTTCACTCCAACCTAAACGCCGTCCACTACCATCTCGAGACGGCGAGGCCGGCTCTGCTCTTTCTGACCGAGACGCAGGTGTCCTCTCCGGCTGATGTCTCGTATCTCTCCTACCCGGGGTACAAACTGGAACACTCCTTTGTGCCTCGGGCTGGAGTTTGCGTTTACGTCAGAGAGGACATCTGTTCTCGACGCCTCGGCAGACTTGAAGGTTCGGACCTGTCCATCCTTTGGCTACGCGTAGACAGCGACGACCATCCGCGCGTCTACGGGTGCCTCTATAGGTCCCACAGCGGTAATGCCGAAACAGACCGACTCTTCGACCACGTCCAAATGGCTGCAGATTCGTTGCTACAGCAGATCCCCTCCGCAGAGATCGTGATCCTCGGCGACTTTAACGCCCATCACGCCGAATGGCTCGGTTCACGTTTAACCGATCATGCGGGGAGATCTGTTCATGATTTTGCCTTGGCATATGGTCTGACACAACTGGTTACTTCGCCTACGCGGATTCCAGATGTGGAGGATCATGCACCTTCCCTGTTGGACCTTCTGCTGACCTCTCACCCGGACGGATATCAGATTTCCGTCGACGCCCCTTTAGGCTCCTCGGACCATTGTCTTGTCCGGAGTGTGGTGCCACTCACGCTGAAATCGCGGTTGCATTCTGCAGGCTGCCGCCGTGTTTGGCACTATAGGTCAGCCAATTGGGATGGGATGCGGTCTTTCTTTGCATCCTACCCTTGGGGGCGGGTTTGCTTCTCGCCGGACGATCCCAACGTTGTTGCGGATTCCGTCGCTGATGTGGTACTTCAGGGTATGGAACTTTTTATTCCTTCCTCTGTGGTGCCCATTGGAGGCAAATCTCAGCCATGGTTTGGTCGCTCCTGTAAAATAGCATCATGCTATAAGCAGGAGTGCTACCAGGCCTGGGCTGACGCATCAGCGTCCAGGGATGTAAACACCAGCGCTCTAAAAAAGAAGTATAATTCCGCCTCTAGGTCCTTCAAAAGAGTCATTGCCAAGGCAAAGTCAGAGCACATAGGCAGAATTGGCGAGAAACTAGTTCGTCTTCCTTCTGGAACCCGTACATTCTGGTCTCTCGCCAAGGCTGTCCAGGGGAATTTCTGTCAGCCATCTCTTCCATCTCTGCACAGGGAGGACGACTCACTGGCCCACACCGCAAAGGAGAAAGCCGATCTTCTAGGCTCTTTCTTTGCGTCTAACTCGACTCTCGATGACGGGGGGAGTACGCCGCCGACCATCCCGCGGTGTGAGTGCTCCATGCCGGAAGTGCAGTTCACTCAGCGCTCGGTTCGCAAAGCACTCCTCTCCCTGGACATCCACAAGTCGAGTGGGCCTGACGGAATCCCCCCAATTGTGCTGAGGACGTGTGCTCCAGAGTTGGCACCGGTTTTAACGCGTTTTTTCCGGTACTCTTACTCCCTAGGCGTAGTCCCAAAATCATGGAAGACGGCTTTCGTCCACCCGATCCCTAAAAAAGGCGACCGCTCAGACCCGTCCAACTACCGGCCTATCGCCATCACCTCCTTGTTCTCCAAAACAATGGAGTCCATTGTAAACTGCCAGCTCATGAGGTACCTTGAGGATCACCAGCTGATTAGTGACCGCCAATACGGTTTTCGCCGTGGTAGGTCAGCTGGTGATCTTCTGGTCTACCTAACTCACAGATGGGCGGAGGCAGTAGAGTCCAAGGGGGGAGGCATTGGCCGTTAGTTTGGACATTGCGAAGGCCTTCGATCGGGTTTG